ACCTGCCTTTGGAACCAGTTCAGTCTGTAAAATATATCACCACAAAAATCCAAAATTAGAGGCAATTTTGAAATATACATTTGAAATGGAGTTGGGTACATTCATATCACAGCTCCAGAGAATCTATCAAGCTAGAAGTAATGAGTTCTAGTTTGTAAGGATTTTTACAGCTCAAGAAAAATTGGCTTTTCTAAAGCTTTCCCTTCTCTCTGTCGCCAGAGCACTGTGCTTATACTTCTACCATAAAACTCATTTCATTCCTTCCTGTTCACAGGTCACCCTCCTGCCTTCAAAATTTTAGGGTCTTTGTAGAAAAGAACTAATTCTTGTTTATCTCTGCCCACAATGCTCTTCCCTCTATCCCTCCAAATACCCCCTGACACACAGCTCTGATAACAAAGCCTAGTACATGCATGTGATGAAAGTTTGTGGAACCAACCAAAACTGTCAACCCAATCACAGATTCTTCTAACATTAGCAAAGCAGAAATTGAAAATTTGGAAGATAATAGAAACCAGAGGCTCAAATTGCTTCTCTCCCACTCAGGTCTGATGGCTCCTATTTCTGCAGAAACATCACAGTAAATAACATTAATCGGCCCTGGGTCTCCACATCATACTTGTCGCGCCTGTGTGGCCCTGCATAGTGTGAAATTAAGAGAAAACAGAGGGCGGAGAATGATGTAAGTTCCCACAGGCAAGATTTCTTTTCACACCATGTAAAAATCACCTCTTAGGCAGAAGGAGACTAACATTTGCACAGAAGACCAAACAGATGTTAGTACAAAAAACAGATCATCTCAGGAGTCATAAAGCAAAGGCTCTGCTCTGCATCAGTTCAGTTCAGTTCAGTCGCTCAGTCGTGTCCGACTCTTTGCGACCCCATGAATCGCAGCACGCCAGGCCTCCCTGTCCATCACCAACTCCCAGAGTCCACCCAAACTCATGTCCATCAAGTCAGTGATGCCATCCAGCCATCTCATCCTGTCATCCCCTTCTCCTCCTGCCCCCAGTCCCTTGGTCATGTATGGATGTGAGAGTTGGACTATGAAGAAAGTTGCGCGCTGAAGAATTGATGCTTTTGAACTGTGGTGTTGGAGAAGACTCTTGAGAGTCCCTTGGACTGCAAGGAGATCCAACCAGTCCATCCTAAGGGAGATAAGTCATGGGTGTTCATTGGAAGGACTGATGCTGAAGCTGCTCTACATAAATCAAGACAAATCAAGAACACACGTGCAGGAATAGAATCACAATTTAGCCTTGTTTGCTGCAAAACATTGTAACTAAGATTAGTGCAACTAACATCTTCAAATATTTCAGGGAGCCCAAAGGGAAGCCATTTTTTTACCTTGGTAGATTTGCGGTCCCATCTGATATGAAACGGAGCAGGATGTCTGCTCTTTTCAGAAGAATATTTGCCCTAGCCTCTAGCTGATGCCTTCATTATCTCACTCCAATAAATCTTCACTTCCTGCTTACAAATGGGGCCCTTCTGGCATCCATTTCTATACACGAAAGGTCTGAGTTTGTTGCAATATCTGACAAGGTGCTTTTTTTTGCTTCTCAGTTTGTTTTTGTGTTTTTTTGTTTGCTTGGTTGGTTTGGTTTTATCAGTCTGTCCATCTTCAACTATCTAAAGGGCACTTAAAAGCCCCAGTGTCTCACAATTCAAAAGCATGAAATAAAATAAAAAAGCAGATGGAGAACCATTTCAAACTAGCCTTGACTTCATGTGAGTCTCTCGAGGTAATACATAGCCTCAAATAAGCTCTGGCCGGAACTATGGTTTGCCCAAACTATTTGTCTCTTCCATGGGAGGGCAGGGCTTTTTCCTTTTCCAGGGTGACTGCGTAGAGACTGTAGTAGCTCGGGAGAATACAAAGTATTATTTTGGTCTCTAACAACAACAACTCTAAACCAAGAAATCAGTTTGTCCTAGACAAGGAAGGCACAGTAATAAACACAGTACAGAATAGAGTTCTTTGTTAGACTGGATGTCTCATATTTTTTATACTGAGTGAAGTGCTTGATTCAGAAGATTCTGAAAGGAAATCAGGTACAGAACAAGAAGGAAAATGGCGAGACTGGAATACTGAGTGAGGAAGGAGAAAAATGATGAATAGGTCCCAAGTTGTGGCTGCTTATTCTGAGGATGGGAATTCAGCAATTGGGTTTACTTATATAAATTCAGACCTTTGCCTGGCATGGTTCCCCCCTCCCCACAACTATACTCTGTCACATAGCAAATCCATACCCATTATTCAAGCCTTATCTCATACATCATCTCTTCTGCAAAGCTTCCCAACACTGAGCAAAGAACTCCTTTCTCTCTCCTTTGTCCTCCCATCTCACTTAATTGGTCCCCTTTTTTTAGAGGAATTGTTCCCCTCCACTCTGGAAGCACCTTAAGGGCTGTGGGTTATTATTCTTCATTTTCTCCCCAGGGCCTATCATTACAGATGGTGCCCAAAAATGTGCTTAATAAGTGTATGCTGAAGAAATCTAAGTGATTACCATTAAAAAAAAAAAAAATCAAACTCCCAGATACTTAGATAGACCACTAACAAAGTGCCACTCACTGTATATCATGAAGATCCAGTGTGAAATGAGTGAGACCCACTAGCGCACAGTAGGTGGGAAATTAGCCCTGAATGTGACAACCCCTAAGAGAAGCTAGTGCAGAAGGCACAGAAGAATTGTAACAAGAGGAAGAAATGAAAAATAGTCATCTTTTACTTGGGGTTCATTTTCCAAAGGAATTTTAGCAAGAGGCACGTTTTTTTTATCAGGAAAAAAAATGAAAGTATTTACCCTGAAATATCCCTGTGTGCTATATAATTACACCCTGGGCAGAAAGGTTATACACCTACATCGGATGTACAGAGCACATGGGCAAAGAGCCTAAGACTCTCCTCCCACTTAGACATTGCTCAGTCCCGTTTATGAGCAGACACTGAAAACTGCACTTAAAGTACCATTACATTTAAAATGAGCACTGCATGGTCCAGTGAGTAGATTACCATGGACACTGTCCAAATGTTGCCTCATAGCATGATAGGAACCTAAGGCTTATTGAAAAGGGCAGTCTCTTTTCCATAGCCCCTTTGCAAAAATGTGTTTAAGGATGCAGAGACTTGCCAGAAATTACTCAACTGCTGTATAACTTGAAAAACTTTCCCAGAAGAGTCTCTTGGTTCTCTGCAGGGCATGAAGAGACATATATAATGAATACACACATTGGCACATGCAGACATACGTGTTCACAGGCACCCACACATATGTGCATTCACACCCAAGTGTGCAAACACTTTCGTATGCATGTTCACTCATGCACCCACACACATGTTCTTTCTCTCTCCCTCCCTTTTTCTCTGTGTCTCTCTCTCACACACACACATCCAATTATCTAGTGAAAGCTGCTCGGTGAACAGATCGATTCTAGGCCAGCTATTACCTGACTTTCATGTACTGAAAAGGGGGTACCTAGTAGGTTTCAGCCCAGTCACCATTTGTACTTTAGAGTAGCTATCAGTAGCAACTAAGTCCCAAAAACTGAAGTCTGGTTTATTATTGAGCACATTCCCACACCCATCCACATTTCTGCTAAATATTAAGGATAGCTGTCAGGTCTTGACACTATCAGAAATAAACTTGACATTTTTAAATCTCAAGAAAGTGATCTGTAGTCACAAAATTAGGGCTAAGAAAAGCAGCATTCTTAGGCCTTGAAGTATCTTGGTGTTGCTTCTCAAATTTCAGTTAGTGAGCAAAGCCCTTCTGTTCTTCCTGCAGGGTTCCCCTTAGCTAGACTAGAAACCCCCCCAGGAACAGGCCCCTGTGTTCCCTGCTCACCACTGGGGCCCACAGTCATCACTACAGTGAAGGACTGAGTGACGGAAAGATGCTGCAAAACTCTCAAGTGATGTGTTTAGCTGCTTGGTCATGTCCGATTCTCTGCGACCCCATGGACTGTAGCCCACCAGCCTCCTCTGTTAATGGGATTCTCCAGGCAAGAATACTGGAGTGGGTTGCATGCCTTCCTCCAGGCAAGTTAACATAGATGTTGGCTAATTTGTGGACGTTCACCATGATATATGAGTCCTCTCCTCTAGAGAAAGAAAGGAGAAAAATAGAAGCATTTTCCAGGAAAACCCAGCCTTTTCCAGGTGTTTCCATAGCTCAGAGATGCATTTGTCAGTATCCTTCCTCTCCAGGTGTTTGGTTTCATTGTGGCAACTTCCTCCATTTAGAGAAGAAACTGAAATCATGCCTACACTCGTCACATAAATTACCTTCACTGCTTTCCACACTAACCCTGGAGAGCAATGACCCAGCCTGTACCTACCAACGAAGGGATAAGAGTGAGTAACTGTCCAAAGACAATAACCAGAGCAGCAGTGAATATGTATTATTCATAGCACATCTTTCCCTTAGGTGAAGTGTTTTGACCAGAAAATCAGATCCTTATTACAGATTTACACCTCATTTGTCCTATATAAGCATCATTTCACGATACTAAAGAGAAGAGAGTTAGCCTAACGGTTTTTGTCCAACCAGTTGTACTAAATAAATGAATTCCTAGAGTAGATTCCCAGCAAAAGTTTGAATAAATATATACACAACTGTGTTACATGGAGGCCCCACGTACTACATTTGTATTACACCTTTTAGCCATGCTGTGTTTGAGAGAGAGTGGAGATAAAGAGTTCCAACTAGGAAGAAGATCTGATTGGTTTGTAAAACTGATTATACACATTCTGCATCTATTGTGTAACAGTTGTATACACAGATGAAAAGATAAAGATCTATCTACACAGTGATCCCACCCCAATCGAGCCTCCTGCGTTTTTAGGAATTGCAGCATCTGCGAAGCTACACTAAAGATTAAAAGAAAGAAAAAAGACAACAAATGTGTCTTTGAAAACCATGCCAAGGAAGGGACCCTTTAGCTGGAGCTAAGCTCCAGTGTTCAATCTGTCTCTGCCCCAGAGGAAACAGTACCCGTTTGGAATGTGACATGAAGATGCTCGCTTTTGTGGAGATAATTGGCTCTAAGCAGGCATAGTAATTAGCAGCATCAGGTAGCTCAGGCAGCATTTGGTTGCCCATTGCCTGTTTACTTGTGAGCAAACGGGAGGGTGTGGGGGTGAGGGAGCAGATGGGGAAGAGACACAGGCACTTCCTGGCGTTTTGCATGGATGCCTCACACGGTCTTGCTCCCTCTGGCACCAGCGTTGGTGCCTCTAGCTTCTGAGCCAGGTCTGAAGGGCCCGTGGGCAAGTGCAGATGCCGCCAGCTGTTCCTTCCCACTCACCTGGCACCAACAGGGAGTGTCTGTGTTCATATCTTCACTCTCTGCACACTTTAGTTTCATAGCTGAAGGCTTTTTTTTTTTTTTTCTTAACAATAACAAGCCAAAAGGGCTGTAGTTGGGGGTTAATTGGGCATAAAGGCAAAATGTGAAAAGACCCAGCTGTTCCTCTCAGGGAGAATTCCAGAGAGTTGTTATAACTGATTGCTACCTTTCAACAATGATTCTCTAATCTCGGTGGCAGCACCGGAAACTAAGATGTGACCAAGGTCACGGGGGAAGGAACACCACATAGAAATGCCTGTGAAAGGGCGGGGGAGGGCAGTGGGGTTTGGAGTCATGAAAATGGACTAAGACAGGAAAGGAAATAAAGGAACCATCGTGGAAATCTTTGGATAAAAATAACTAGTGTTAACTGAGCAGTTACTATATACCAAGCACCATAATAAGGGCTTCCCAGGTGGTGCTAGTGGTAAAGACCCTGCCTGCCAACACAGGAGACATAAGAAACGTGGATTCGATTCCTGGGTTGGGAAGACCCCCTGGAGAAGGGCATGGCAACCCACTCCAGTATTCTTGCCTGGAGACTCCCATGGACAGAGGAGCCTGGCTGGCTACAGTCCATGGGGTCATAAAGAGTCAGACAGGACTGAAGTGACTTAGCTCGTACGCACATGCAGGTGCCATATTAAGCAACTTACACAGACAACATTATGAGTTTGATATTACCCCAATTTTACAAAAGAGAAAACATGGACCACTCAGCCTGTTAGGTACTAGACTGCAATTCAGACCAAAAAGTTCCTCTCTAAGGCTTTCCCGGGAGTCCAGCAGGCTGGAGTTCTGCTTCCGGGCCAGCTTCTGTGCAGTAGGGTAACGGTCAGCAAGTCACTGAACTTTGGTATCTATCCCTACAGACAAAAGTGGCAATTCCAAGTATGAGGGCCTCCTGCCTCAGAATCATCTGACAAGCATATTTAATATGTAGATTTCAAAGTCACTCCTTAAATCTAATAAATCAGACTCTCTCTAGCAAAGTGCACCAAACTGCATTATTAATAATCCCTGAGGATTTTTAGGTTCAATAAAATTAAAGATGGCTGGACCAGTTGATCTCTAAATCAAAAATGCTATGGCTATGGCAGTCGACTTGACACCCCAGAGAGTTGCTGCATTATTTATACTTCAACTTTGCTTATTTAAAAGAAAACTCAAACTAGTTTTATTCTGTGTAAATTGTTTTACTCAAAGAGTGATTTTGAATGGCTTCTTTTTTAAATCCCAAAATTCAGGCCAATCTTCAAAGGGTAAAGATGGTTTTCCAAGTGTTGAGGAAATGGAAACCCTGAAGTTTGAGATGAGTGCTTCCTAGGTGGTGCTGGCCATAAAGAACCTGCCTGCCAGTGAAGAAGACATAAGAGACACAGCTTCAATTCCTAGGTTGGGAAGACCCCCTGGAGGAGGGCATGGCAACCCACTCCAGTATTCTCGCCTGGAGCATCCCATGGACAGGGGAGCCTGGGGGGCTACAGCCCATGGGGTGACAAAGAGTCAGACACGACCAAGCAACTAGCACACACACAAACAATTGCCCTAAGATGCGCAGTATTTTCAAAAACAGACCTCTATGGGGATGATTTTAAAGGAGTCAATCCTCTTTTGAATGTATGAACTCTTTTTTTTTTTTTTAATAAAACATGATTATCTTATAACTTCCAAACAGAAAACTCTGTTAGGTTGAACTGTATGAAATTGCGTTTTTACCTGCAAAATCAGTGATTTCATATGGTTCAACCTAATGTGGAGAAGGCAAAGGCAACCCACTCCAGTACTCTTGCCTGGAAAATCCCATGGACAGAGGAGCCTGGTAGCCTGCGGTCCATGGGGTCGCTAAGAGTCGGACACGACTGAGCGACTTCACTTTCACTTTTCACTTTCATGCATTGGAGAAGGAAATGGCAGCCCACTCCAGTGTTCTTGCCTGGAGAATCCCAGGGACGGGGGAGCCTGGTGGGCTGCCGTCTATGGGGTCGCACAGAGTCGGACACGACTGAAGCGACTTCACAGCAGCAGCAGCAGCAGGAGCAACCTAATGTGTGTGCATGTGTCTGGGCAGGCTTTTGTGTGTGTCTCTGTGTGTGTACCTAATGTGTGTGTGTGGGAGGGCAGGCTTGCACGCAGGCCCATGTGAGCTGAGTATAATTCCTGAGACTAGAATATTTACATGTCACCTTGCTGGGTGCTGATAAGGTAGTGCTGCCGTCTCAGGGCATTCTCAAGAGATGTTAGTTATTAATGGTGAAATTTCCCATTTGACTTCCCAGACTTTGTCCTACGTCCTTAAATCCTAATAAAAAAAGGTGAATATTCACAACTGGAGTAGACCAAACAGTAATCAAACTAAAAATCTGATAAGTTCTTCTTCTGTTCCGTTCCCAAGCATAATGTACAAATATGGTCACCCAGCTCCTAAGAGCCCCAGCATTTCTCCTCGTTGCTCTTGCAAATGTGAATTCATACTGTATCTTTTGAAAGATGCCTTTGGAGTCCAACAGATTTTGTCAGCTGCTTGTTTTCCCACTATTCAGACCATCTTCCTCAAACTCCGTATTCAGCGGTTGTCACTAAAAACATAGCAATAGGAGAAAAATATCTAAAAGTTAAAAACCAGGTGAAATGACATCAGTTGAATGCTTGGGGAAGAAATAAAAGCAATGGAGCTGACTGGGCCTCAAGAAATGTCTGTGCCTCTTTCCCCTCTGAAACTCCCTCCTCTATGCCCACCTCTGAGTGCCAGGGGGATTATTTGGCAGCAGTGAGCTCTGACTAAAGCTTCTAGAAGCTCTCATTCAGCAGTGGAATTGTTGTCTTCCTCTGATCCTCAGATTATGGAGATGAGGGGATGAATGTACGGCACTAAGATTCCCTACCGAGATAGCTTTTCACTCTTTTCAGTAAGAAAAAGATCAAAAGGAAACTGCCTAATTAGCATACCAAAGGAGACAAAAACCCCTAGAGCTTTATCGTTGTTGCAATCCAATAATAAACACCCGAGTACAAAAAAGATTATTTGATAATGACATACAGAATTGAAAGCTTTTGAAACAGCAGCTTCTAGAAAAAAAATATTTTTGGAAGGGAAAATATCCATAATTATACAGAATAATGCCTACCCATTGGGGAACGGCTCTTGGTTCTTGGGAAAGCTACTTGCAGAACGACTTTGCCTAAGAAGGGTGGTGTGGCTTCCTTTATCTGAAAAACTCAAAAAGCCTACAAAAGGTTTCAAATCCCTTCCCAAGTAAACATTCAGTGCTTTCATATTCCCCAAAATTAAACACAGAATTCTTGTCTTGAAAATAAGTGTCCCCTTTTCCCAGACCAGCGCCCAATCAGAGGCTTGAGCTCAAAGTCAAAGGAATTCGCAACTCTTTGGGACTCATTGTTCTTCTCGACAGCCTTTTCTGGTTTTGGAAAGCCCGGAAGTCTCTGCAAATATGAACTTTAAAAAAAAAAAAAAAAATGAGAGAGACAGAGAATAAAGCAACTGTTTAATTATAAACGAGTTACTCTGAGACACAAGTATAGGAATCCACAAGGACCATGGAGAGAGACAGCTTTGAAAGAAAACCAGACCCTTCCTCCTTGGGTTAATATTAATATGGTGAGTGCTTTTCTTCAGACACCAAGGGGACAATACCAGCAGAATGGATTTTTCAGAAGTCACAGTGAGTTTGGGTAAGTTGCGAGTGTATCTGCCTCTTCCTTTAAGGCACATGTAGAACATGTTGATCAACATTGGGTGCGTGGTCAGGCTTGGCTTCCCCATGAAAAGCCGACCCACTTCCCAGTCAATTCCAGGACTTTTCTGGGACAGGAGATGGTGGAATTCAGAATTGGGGCGGGGGAGGTGTGGGGCGGGAGGTGGCGCAGAGGGCAGGTGCTAATAGAGAATTTCTTCATGAAGGGACAGGGGTTGCCAAGCTCTAGTTCCCATCTAAACTGCCTACTGATGAGAGAGAAGGTATTATTTCACTTGGAGATCACCCAGGTGATTATAATGGACTTGCCTGAGACTCTGGCTCTAAGCCATTTGAATTAAAAAGCACAGAGTCCTGGGTTATTAATACTTTATCCTGCTTCTAAGCAAAGAATCATTGTTAATGAGTCAAGGGGTAATGACTCTTTATACAAGTCTGAGTTTAAATGAATAATGTCTCTCTTGTTTTATACATTTTTAAAAATAATAAATAGATGAGAAATATACCTTTGACTGGCCATCAAGTATGCTACCTTGCTTTATCTCTGGGAACTCTAGTTCTTCCCAGATTTGCCAAGATCACTTAAGCACCTTATTTTGATAGTTTCATGTAGAATTATTTCTTCATTCCTTTTTATAAATTGTCCGTTGGCAATGAAACAGCCCCAAATCAGAATTTTACTCAGAAAATGTGTCTAGAGGATGCCATTTACCCACCACTCCAAAGTATTAATTAGACTTAGCTGTTTGCCAGCTAAGTACCAGAGGAGACCATGGTGATTAGCTGCACTAATTGGAATTTCAAGTGGCACTGATAACCACACAAAGATAATAGGATTATACCTTCCCTCCCTGAAAAAAGAAGCAGTTTTGTCATAACTGTTTAGATGATGGTTTTAAGCTGTTTCACACCTAACTACCTTCAGAGAAAGGGAACATTTTTAGATACTATTTTTATTCCTACCTCCCCACCCCACCCCCCCAAAAGAGAGAGAGAGAAATAAAACTCTTCCAGATAGTAACAAAAGTACAAAGGCAAGTCCCTCTCTGTCTCTGGATCTCAGCTTGCTCTTCAGAAAGCCAAGAAGCACAGAAAAGCAACTTTATGTGACCACCAACAGCAAC